CCCCAAAACCCCAAAACCCCAAAACCCCTCGAGTCTAGAGAGTAAGTTAGATTAAGATAAATGTAATTATTTGAGATAACGTGGAATTTTTCAATTATATTCTATTCCAAAAAGATTGACCAGTTCAGTGTTGAAAGGAGCCTTTTCAGGTTTTTAGTTGTGAACAAATAATTTTTCTAGTTCATTCATATCTTTGAACTGGTGATTATTTTTGTTGCATTCTGAGGCAAAAAAGTTGGTAAAAGCCTAAGCTATTTTGAATCCAATTGGGGTTCTAAGAGCATTAATGTCAGAAGCAGGTTCAAGTACAACTTCTGGATGATACTGAGCTGTGTAGACTGGATAGTTTATTGCTTCAGTAGTGCTAACAATCATCTATCCGTTGATATTATTGATTGATAGAACTCTGTAGAAATTTGACAAGCTATTAAATTCTTGATAATCTTATAATGGTATAGCATGGTGATGAAGATGAAGAAGACTGTCTTAAGTTGCCATTTCTTCAAGAACTTCAGCACTGAAGGTAGAAAGCATTTTGCTTTGATTTCTTGGATCAACAACAAAGACAGTATTAATTCTCTTATTCTCAAATTCTGAGTTTCCAAAAGCGTTTGTGTTCTTAGCAACAAGCAATTACAAAAGCTAATGGCCCTGACAAATGCCCAATAATGGGAAGTAATCGCCATTATCTGTATGAGAGATAGAGTAATTCAAAATTTTCTCTGCAGTTACTGTGTAAGGATGAGGCACACCAGTTGTATAGTTATAAAGATCTATACTACCACCTGTGAAAAAAACTCCGTTGATTTGATCAAGGATCGGATATAGATCCTCATCTGTGGCGTTGTAAGGAATGTAAACAGCATTTAAACCAGCTTCTCTCATCCAAATGTCTCCCATCTCCCAAATATATTAGGAACTGCTCATATGTTTGAGCATATTAGTTCCTGTTGGAAGAGTCAAGATCCCAACAGTTAAAAGTTGCTTTTATGGAGCATCTTTGACTTTAAACGCTTTTTTTACTGCTTCAAAAATCGAGAAGGAGTTTACTTGATAAAGAGAGAGCCCAAGTAAGAGCAGCAGCTTCGATAAAATTGGATTCATTCAACTTATTATGATATTTTTATAAAATTTATTAAATATTGCCTACCTGAATCCTTTTATTTTTCTCAAGATGGGGTTTTGGGGTTTTGGGG